TAGCACCCCTAAAGAAATCGACATCCTCATGCCTGACACCTAGCAAATATTATATGTGACCTGACAGTTATGATTAAGGATCATGAAATGGGGCAAGTATCCTGGAAGGTCTCCATTGGTGGGCCAACGTCATCACAAGTGTTTTTTAAAGGCAGGAGGGTCAGAGTCAGAGACACCACCAGGGAAGCAGAAATTGAAGTGATGCCATTACTGGAAGGGAGCCATTAGCCCAGCAATGTGGGCAGCCATTACAAGCTGGAAAATTCTCTGCGAGAGCCTCAAGAATGCACCCTGCAGACTTCTTGATGTTAGCCCAGGAGACCCACTTTCAGACTTTCAACCCCCAAAATTCTAAGGTACTTGTGTTGTCTGAGGTCACTAAGCTTATCATAATTTGTCACAGCAGCAATAGGAATACAGACTTTCCCATAACACCCCTGGCCTGTCCCCACTCTTTACTCTTCTCCCTAGAGTTTCACTGAGAAGCCATATAGTTAACTCAGCCTCTCCTTACTCCCTTCCTCCTAGGGGCAGCCCTTGCAGGAAGCATATACCTCCCTGGGGTTCTCCAGGCCATTGCTTCTACGGGCACCAACCCCTGTGCAGGGTGGGTGGAAGGTGTGCGGTCTTTCAGCGGCTGCCTATGTTTGGATGAGTATCCAGTTCTGGAGGTTGGTATAGGGAACCCACCAAAGAAGCAAATGTAAGCCATATCCTCTGATCCAGCTATAATCACTAATAAAGCTAATGGATTCACCCCCACCTGTCTGCTTTACTTCTCACATGATTCAGAACTCAGGTGGACAAAGGCAAAGAACCCCGTTTCAAGCATTGAGATTCTCAAAAGTTATGCATGATGCTACCATAGAGATTCAATTCTTAGGAGAGGAAATGGGGACAGAAAGATAGCCCTTTTATTCAGACAATATAGAAGGCTGAGATTGATATATTTAAGAGTCAACGTGGAAGACAGACTGCTATCCTCAAGGTATCCTTTTACAAGTAAGGATTCTAAATCCTTAATCTACCTGCACCTAAAACCACCTGCACCTCAGACTGCAGGTGGAGGTGATCAGTGGGTCTGGCTTTCGAACATTAGAGAAAGCAAGACTACAGCTGGCATTCTGGACACACAGCTCAGAAAAAACCTAAAGAGCTAGCCTAAAATGTATCCACGGTCTTTTTTTCAAATAGGCAAATATCATACCACAAGCATGTGAGTTGGCATTTTCAGTTTTGCAAAGAAGGAAAGGCAATCACCCTCAAATTTCTCAACCAATTTCACAAGATGGTGCTCTGATGATTCCATCATGAGAATTCTCTTTGAGGCTACAAAGAGAACTTGGAGACAAACAAACGTATGAAGCAGTTCTTTGGGGTCTAATTATTGCTGATTTTGTTAGAGCAAATATATGAAATTCCATTCTAATCCCAAATAACATGGAGATACTCATCATCCTCATGATAGGCATAAAGCAAACAAACATTGTGTATCTATTTTTATTAATTTTTTCAGTCAGAATAACATATTGATAAGACCATTAAGAGACATTGATTGAAATTATCAATCATTTCACCAAATTAGGAAAGCACTTCCCAGCTGTGGATTGATCCCTGAAGAGCCTGGCTCTAATGATCTCCATCATTATCGCAGCTAGGAACAGCCCATGGGGAGCCTCAGCCCCCAGGGTAAGAATTTACAGCCCAAATGAAATTTCATTACTCAATAAAGTAGAAAGCAACTAAGTCTAAGATCATCACTCCTTCCTTCTCTTATTTGTTCATTCAGTTTTTAGAACCCTCCCTAACTTACTGCATTCCAGAGAACAACTCAACGAAATCAGTTCCTCTCTGAAGAGTAATTTGGAGTGTGTGGTTAACTGGGTGAAATGCAGACCATACAGAAAACTAAGTCGATAGAGAAGGTGGACGTATAGCTAAGAGCAAGAGCTCTGCCTTGGAAAGTGGCAACACAGAAGAAATGGGAGGAATAAACTCCTTCTCTGTTTCTCTGTAAAAAAGAGAAAAAGATTTTGTAAACAATTAGTTTTGAAGAAGTATTTCAGTAGTTAGGCTCCATGGCATCTGAACAGAGCACTGTTATGTGCACAGACTGACTTGAGTTACTCAAGATTAAGTCACATTATAAGGAGGGCTTTTGTTATAAGCAAATTCCCATTTTTAGACAGTAGGAAAGAAACTTAGTGCATGTTAAGTCACCAGCTTTGAAATTAATTGGAATAATGTAGTCTTTAAGTAAATGATGTATGGTCAAGGAGCATTTTTATCTGTTCATTTAAGTCCACAGGAAATGAGACCCTGGGAGGGATCCTTTCCAACCAGGGTCATGTTGGTGGACATTAGACAGAAGAATGTTCATGATACCAAGTTCTATCACAGGAAAGTATGAGAAATTTAAATATATATTATCTACAAAATGTACAGTCCCTTTTTTAATTTCATCTACCTTAGTACTTTGGTTTATTCAACATACATTTACTGAGCACCTACTATATGCCAGGCTGAGAGGCTCAGAAATACATTAAAATACAAAGACCTTGCCTTTAAGACACTTGATATATGTAAGACAAACATGTAGAGCAGAGGGAAGAGTATCTCTGTGCTAGCTACTCTTGGCCTTGAGGCATGCTAGTCACTATTCCAAGTGTCATCCTGGTTTGTCAACTGCTAGTTACTGGTCTGCAAGGAATTCAACACAAAATGAGACTATACCTTTAGAAAATTTTATGTAAGGTTGAAATTACTGCCATATCTAAGCATATGATCACTTTTCTAGTAATCCATTTATTTTGTATGTTACATAACTTCAGACTATAACATATTTGTAATTAAAATACATATATATGTGAATATGTATATGTATGTACATGTGTATATGTGTATATATACATACATGTACATATAACCAGTCCTTAAGCACAGAGCTTTTGAGAAACACTACTTAACACTTTAGAGAGTTCATATCAGAACTAAGTTAATCTGTGCAAATAGCATCACTTTAGAATCCTTTCCCACTCCACCCTCACAATTCACTCCAAAAGATTAGGTAAATGTTCTTATAACAACTCATTGCAAAGTCCAGAAATATGCCTAAAAACTTTCTTTTAGCTTATAGCCTGGGAGCATGCTGGCTATCTAGGATCATTAGACAAACTTTATTTGTCCTGCTCAGTATCTTTAAATTTTTTATCCCCCTATTGAAAATTTACAAAATTTCAAAAACAAATCTAAATAATTGTCTTTTCTTAGAAAATAATAAAATGTGGGAACACAGGCCTATAGCCCACAGGATTGCGATCCAAAGAAATGGAACCCACGGGCACTTCGGTGGCTCAGTCAGTTTAGCATCTAGGCTTGGCACAGTTCATTTCATGGTTCATGAATTTGAGCCCTGCATCTGTGCTGACATCTCAGAGCCTGGAGCCTGCTTTGAATTCTGTGTCTCCCTCTCTCTCTGCCCCTTCCCCGCTTGTACTCTGTTTCTCTCTCTCTCTCTCAAAAATAAACATTAAAAAAGAAAGAAAAAAATGGTACCCAAATCTCTCCTTTGAGTTGCATACTTGTCCTCTGTAGATATTTGAATTTAGCACATTTACTTTTCTTCATTTCCTTGGTCTCTTTGGGGATGTCAGTACATCCCAGCTCATCCCCTATAGCTATCTTGCCTATAACTTTTTGCAGCCCAAATAGGAAACTAGGGACCCCTGTGGTAAATAAATATGGACAGGTTGTAATTTTCAAAAGCAGAATACTAGTTTTGGTTCAAGAAATTCTGAGGTGATGGGGAAAATGAGAGGTTTTCCAAATACCACTCATTAGAGATAATCCCTAAAAAGTTGGATGGTAAAAACCATACACTCCTGGAGTGTAACAGGGAAGAAATTTTGCCTATCAAACTGAACTCCTAGAAGAAAAACTTGAGAAACTATCCTTTTCCTCATAGCATCTCCTAATTTCATGAAGATTTATTCACTAAACAAATGTTTATGTAGTACTTGCTATGTAGCAATCCTATACACCATGGATTCAGTTGTGGACAAAATTAAGTCCCCACCGTTATGGAACTTACATTCCAATCAAGACACAGAGACAATAAACACCCCCAAAAATGTATGAATAAGTAATATAATTTCAGACAGTAACTACGGTGAAGAAAACAAAACAGGACAACAGAATACAACATGACTGGGTATTTGTATCAGGGAGGAGTGGTCCTCTATAGTGGTTGGCAAAGGACTCAAAAAAGATGACGTTTTATTATAAGACAAAAATTAGGAGAAGACACCCACATGGACATTTTGTGGGACATAAAAAGTCACAGAAAAGAAGGAAATGGGGAACTGGCAAGGACATATTTAAGGTGGTCTGCCAGACTGATGAAATGAAGAAAAACAGAGATGGTCGACTCAAGCACCTACAGGTAGTCTGGTACACAACCTCAAGAAGAGAACGGACAAAGAGATTTCCAGGCTAAGGAAAGAGCACACAGGTCCTGAAATAGGAGCGAGTTTGAAATGTCACAGAACTTATAAAGGTTTCCACATGTTTCTTATTCTTCTTTGGAGGACTTTTTCTAAATTTCCCCAGGATTCTCAGCAAACCACTACTGATAGGACTGATAGCTAGTCCTTATTATTTCCACCATGTTTTCACCTTTGCTTCTTCTCCATGCCACTCCCCAGTACCTGATAACATCCCTGTCAGCACCATCATCACTAGGACCAAAGTCTAAGACAAAAGTTTGAATTTACTGCCAAGTGATACACCAAGTAATGACAGTGAGTCAGGTATGTGACATCCAGGCACAAAATGGGAGTGGTATTTGAAGATTTGTCCTAATTCTATTGTGCACATTTTAATAACCCATGTCTTAAAGGCCCCTGATGAATTTCAATGGTACAGGAAAACTTTTGAAAATTATGTGATGGTAGTTTTTTTTCTCGGGACAGTAGAGGCCGTGTAGCATCACCGTTACTCTGAGGAGAGAACAGTCGGTAGAGGGGTGCAAAAATGCAGAGCAATAAAACCTTTAACTTGGAGAAGCAAAACCATACTCCAAGGAAGCATCATCAGCATCACCACCACCAACAGCAACAGCCACCACCGCCACCAATACCTGCAAATGGGCAACAAGCCAGCAGCCAAAATGAAGGCTTGACTATTGACCTGAAGAATTTTAGGAAACCAGGAGAGAAGACCTTCACCCAACGTAGCCGGCTCTTTGTGGGCAATCTTCCTCCTGACATCACTGAGGAGGAGATGAGGAAACTATTTGAGAAATATGGGAAGGCAGGCGAAGTCTTCATTCATAAGGATAAGGGCTTTGGCTTTATCCGCTTGGAAACGCGAACCCTAGCAGAGATTGCCAAAGTAGAGCTGGACAACATGCCACTTCATGGAAAGCAGCTGCGTGTGCGCTTTGCCTGCCATAGTGCATCGCTCACAGTCCGAAACCTTCCTCGGTATGTTTCTAACGAACTGCTGGAGGAAGCTTTTTCTGTTTTTGGCCAAGTGGAAAGGGCTGTAGTCATTGTGGATGATAGGAAGGCCCTCAGGAAAAGGCATTGTTGAATTCTCAGGGAAGCCAGCTGCTTGGAAAGCTCTGGACAGGTGCAGTGAAGGCTCCTTCCTGTTAACCACATTTCCTCGGCCTGTGACTGTGGAGCCCATGGACCAGTTGGATGATGAAGAGGGACTTCCAGAGAAGCTGGTTATAAAGAACCAGCAATTTCATAAGGAGCGAGAACAGCCACCCAGATTTGCACAGTCTGGCTCCTTTGAGTATGCCATGCGCTGGAAGGCACTCATTGAGATGGAGAAGCAGCAGCAGGACCAAGTGGACCGCAACATCAAGGAAGCTCGTGAGAAGCTGGAGATGGAGGCTGCTCGCCATGAGCACCAAGTCATGTTAATGAGACAGGATTTGATGAGGCATCAAGAAGAACTCCGGAGGATGGAAGAGCTGCACAACCAAGAAGTGCAAAAACGAAAGCAACTGGAGCTCAGGCGGGAGGAAGAGCGCAGGCGCCGTGAAGAAGAGATGCGGCGGCAACAGGAAGGATTCAAGGGAACATTCCCTGATGCGAGAGAACAGGAGATACGGATGGGCCAGATGGCCATGGGAGGTGCTATGGGCATAAACAACAGAGGCGCCATGCCCCCTGCTCCAGTGCCAGCTGGTACCCCAGCTCCTCCAGGACCTGCCACTATGATGCCAGATGGAACCTTGGGATTGACCCCACCAACAACTGAACGCTTTGGCCAGGCTGCTACCATGGAAGGAATTGGGGCCATTGGTGGAACCCCTCCTGCGTTCAACCGTGCAGCTCCTGGAGCTGAATTTGCTCCAAACAAACGTCGCCGATACTAATAAAAATTTCACTGTCTAGTTTCCCAAAAACCCTCAAAAGAAAGACCCTTTTTGGACTAGCCAGAATTCTGCCCTGGAAAAAGTGTTAGGGATTCCTCCCAATAGTTAGGTCTTCCTTGCCTGTACTACTCTAAGGGAGTATGCTGGAGGCTGAGGGCAAGGGAGGGGCGATAAAATTTAACAAATCAAAAAAAAAAAAAAAAAAAAAAAAAAAAAAAAGAGAAAGAAAGAAAATTATGTGATGGTAAATAAAACTTATTCAACAATTGGACATTTGAAATCTTTACCACATGGACCAGAATAGATTTAGGACCTGGAGAGGTACTTTAAAAGCCAAGTATCATCACCAGTTCCGAGAACAACCACACTGTATACTATACAATATCTAAAAAAAGGAAGCTATCTAATACAATATAAAAACCACTGTGATTATGTTTATCATATTGTAACATGTAATCAAATCAATAAAATTAGCACCCCCCCCACCCACTCCCAAGTAAATGATATGGGATAAAAGGTTTCAGAAGTGAAACTAAAAGGAAAATGAATCATTCCAAGAATATGAAATTATATAATTCATTTTTAGAAGATTAAAAATAAAAAGATACTTAATAACTTCCTTCAGTGAAAGGAATTATTTATGTTGGTACAAGGAGTATAACTGAAAAGCAGGTATAAGAACAAGAAAACTGAATACTAGTGTGAAAATCGGCAGATGGTGGGAGATCTAGATTATCTCATTGTTCTTGTTCAATATTTATTAAACATCCTGTTTTCCAAATGCTGTCACTTATGAAATTCCAAGTATATATACCTTAGTGAAGGAAGAGGTAGGGTTTATAGACTCAAAAAACACAACTAAAACGGTAGAACTTTTGAAGTTTGTCTTTGAATGAACTTCCAACCTCTGTTTTAACTCTCCTTTCCAATACTATTCAACCACCAGTTTTGGGGATGCGACTGGGGATGAGGCAGTGGGTTACAAGCAAAGGTATAATTCAAACTCTGGCCTTCTTTCCAGGATGTCAACTCAAATTACCTACCTTCCATACAAACCCATCAAAATTCTTAGTCCTATCTAGAAAGTAACAATTGGACTCAAGTTTCACATCCCATTGGAAATGACTAATGATGAATTTGAAAAAAATACATGTTACGTATTATATTATTTACATGCAATTTCACAGAAACAAGACAGGTAGCACATAGACTGCAATACAGTGTTAATACGAATAGATGGGATACACATATACCTTTCTGTTAAAAAAAAAGCAAAACAACAACAAAAAAAACACAACCTCTCTGGGTGGCTTCCCAGGCTCACCAGGGCCAAAGGCATCAAGTTGTCCAGCGGCCCACCGGGTAGGGGCCCCAGGGGATGTTTGATTCAGTGATACAAGCTCTCACTGCCCATATTCCTGGGAACTTACATAACATTCTATCTGTGCCTACAGTTTTCCCAGAATGAGTAAGGATGAAGTATGTATGAATCAGGCCAGAAGCTGTGGGTCATTAACATCTTCACCTCGCACGCTTCAACTAATGATTCGAGGAAATTGGTTGTATAAAAACCCTAGCTCCCTCCTCCTCAAGTTAGTGAATTCTGACAAGTGTATTTTGTGTGTTTCCCGGGGTTTCCTTGATGGATTAACTTCTAGTCTCCTACCATTGTTGTCGGCATCATGATGTACTCCCTATTGACTGATTTATCTCCTCTGTGTCAATTCTTCACTCCCTTACCAGTGTTCCCTACATCTATCTCCCAAACAAATTCTTTGCACACAGATTTTTGCCTCAGTATCTGTTTTTGAATGAGCCAAATTAAGATACTCTTTATGAACTTATTTGCCTATAAGATGAGCTTGTTTATCCAAATAGATTTTCTCCATACCGGTAGCTAAGGGGCAATTGTGACTGAGAGGGCTGTCCTATGCACTCTGCCTACATCAGCACCTCTTTTTCTCCTACTCAGTTTTCAAGCCATCCCATGTTCCTACCTTGCCCACAAGCATGCTCTGCTTTTCCCCAACCCCACTTATCTCTTCCACATGTGGGATCATGTCTCACTTATTGCTTCAACCACACACCTAACACTCATCTCCAACATAACAGGACCTCAGGTGACTTAACATGTGGAAAGGATGGCCATGTAAATTCCCTTGTGTTATGATACGTCTCATCGCTCCTTCTTCAAGGCCAAGGTTTCCTTCAGGGGCAAGATGATAAGGATTAGATTAAGTCTTCAAAATATCCTCACTCCTTTGGGCATCTGAGATCTGGACTCTGACTTGGCCTCAGTTACGCCTGAGCTCTTATCCAAAATTACTTGTGGCTCATCAGTGATTTGTGAAGTATGGATATTATCCTTTCACTTGATCTCAAAAACAGCATCTAATTTTTAAATCTTTATTTCTCAAAAGACTAATCATCTGCCATCATTCAAGTCTAAACTCTTCTGTCCACCTGTCTTTCAGGAAAATCCCTACTGAACACCCAACTACAGACTTCAACTGTAGTTGAACAGTTGAACAGCTTGGTTTCACAGGCTGCAGTTGGATATAATTTTCCTGATGCTGAGATTAACTTCCTTCTATTTCTGAGCAATGAGGTCATCATCACCCCCAGCATTGTCAACAAAGATGATGATTTCCATAGACGAAAAAGTTCATAGTGAGTGTATTCCCATGCATGTCTTTTTAAAAGTATCTTTTAGCTTTATTGTGCTATCCTTGATTCTATTTTGGTTTAAAGGCATTTATAGTATCCTAAACCATAATGAACATCCCTATGGCAGAAATAAAATCCATGTTATAGCTTTCTTTTGAGAGGTGAACATCTTAGCTTTTAAGATACTTTCTCCCATAAAGCAAAGTCTACAGCAGAGATGCACTCCCTTGTGATCTTTCTGGTCACCTTCCCAAACTTCTAACAATTTACGAGTATCTTCCACGTCAATTTCTTGCCAAGATTTTCCAAGTTTCAAATATTGAACAATGCAAAATCAGCCCTGTGTTTAGACTAGCAGTACTAATCCTATAATGCTGCATCTTCAACTTGCAATCCACTGGTCTCCGGAGAGGTCAATGCTCATACTGCAAGTTACCTACTTTTTTGTAACATAAAGTGGCATGCAATTTCCCAGTAGTAAAATCTTGAAGGCTTGCTTTCTAGTCACGTGGATCTAAAAGACAGCTGTGTTTTCCATGAATTCTTTGCTGCCTATTACACACATGCCACAGAAACTGGTATCCTTTTCCCATGCTGCTGTTGCTCCAGAAACTTTTCAATCTGTTTCTGAAGCTGCTCTGATGAAACATCATGCAACAAAACGTAGTTGTCTTTTTCTTTCCAAAGAGCATGTTGGGTTGATTCTCATTGCTCTACAGGACTCAGTGATAAACCTCTTTGCTTGGGTGGGGGTGGGGAAGGGGAGGTTCTCTCTCAACTCTGTCTCCATTCTAAACACAATTCCCAGCTCCTGGTTTGATGGCTTTCCGATTCAGTTTTCTTGTCTTGCCCCACAACATCCCTAAATTGATACGCTTTTCCCCTTCAAATTTCAATTGTCTTGCAATTTCTCTGAAGTGAGCTTGCTGTACAGCTCCTTCACTGACACAAGATACGAAAGAGCATTCAGGAAGAAAAATTAAGGGCTTAGCAAGCATTCCAGTTTGGCTTTCTAAATGAACACTTTTTATATCCTTTGAAAAAAATATCAGGGGACCTACAAAATACAGTTTTGTCAACTCTAACTTATAGGTGTGGAGTTCGTATGAGGGACGGTACAAGAGTGGTTGAGAGCCACTCCACCTTGCTGTAGGTCCTGGCCCCACCATTTACCACCTATTCAATAGTTGCTATTTGTGACCCTGCACAAGTTTCTTATCCTGCTTCTGTTTCCTCATCTGTACAATGAGCAAAAATAGTACTTAATAGGCTAGTGGTAAGGATTAAAAGGAAAAAAATACATATTGATAATTGCTTACCTTGTCATAAATGTTACTAGCTATTTTTATTGGTCAGTCTAGTGCCAAGTCTATTATAAAGGAGAATGTTTACTTTCAGGAGATGCCTGCATGTCATTTTTGGTCATTGGGCTCTGAAGGTAGCCTCTATGTTTTCACCACCTCTATGAATTACTCCCCCAAATCTCACAGTCTTTCTTCATATGCCGGCCAGATGTTTCATTTGCTGAATCCCTTCTCTGTCTCATGTCACTGTTGGCATGCTTTTGGGGTACATGGAACGGCACTGAACAACTGTGTTGAGGCACCAATGGGCTCAATAGGTAATACCTGTCTCCCTCACAGAGGTTCAGGACCAACTGAAAAATGCAGTATCATTAGACAAGTAGAACACCACACTTATTATAAGGAAAAGATTAGGGAAGGTGGCTTGTATCTACAGGGAGCTAAGTTTCCTTCTATTAAATCCCTCAAACATACAGACTTCCCCTTCCAAGTTGTGACTGTAAGCTTCCCAACCTTTACAACAAAACTGACCAGAAAGGTAAGAGCAGACGTGCTCTGTGGGCACATTTGCTCCCAAAGGGGGGAAAAGGAGGAATGAAAACGTTTACGTCCAGGTTCTCCTTGCCAAATCCCTACTGAGACTGTCACATCTCTAAAGAACTTGCATGAGGAAGTAGAAGCAGGCAAAGACTGATATCCCACTGGTGCTGCATCTACCCTGGAAGAAACATCAGGAGTGAGAAGCAGCACTCCTCTCCAAACAGGCTGGAAGCTATTACAGTGTAAGACTGGCCAGTAGTCCTATCAAAGGAGAAACCAAACTGCAAGCTCATAGTCCTATCATCAGAGCCTTGCCTTCCTCCTGTTTCCTGCCCTGAATTTGATAGAGGAAAAAAAAAAATCTTAAAAAAAATTATCCGACAAGCCCACATTTGAGTTTTAAATAACTCAGTTTTTCCTCAATTTGATCGGTCTATTATAATCCCTGACATTCTAAGAAGCCCCACAAAACTGTAAAATAGAGCCAGTGCTACAAGAAAGTGTTTTTTGGTGCCATAGATGTACAACAAGTTATGATAGTACAGATAGGCATTACCCACATCCATCCTTCCCTTTCCGTCCCAGACTCACCAAAATGAGATGACACATGACACTGATCACAGCGTGATACAGCATTGTTTCTGACAT